TAACAGCAGCATTATGAAACTATGAGTGGGATTTCCTTAGAGTAACGTAGCAATACATTATAAAGAATACAATCCAGAAACATAACTTACATCCTGATTAGGCAGCAAATTGTTGTACCAAGCCTTTCTTAAAAAGCCTCTTGGAACATGTTTTTTATTACTTCTACTCTTTCAAATCCTACTGGTTTTTTTTTTTTTTCACCGCTCTTTTAAATGTAATCAAAGAGGTTTTTTGTCTTTGTTGAAGTGTTGCAAACTAGCACCAGGTAAAAACCTGACTGTAGCCAAAAATAATGCACAATAGCTGTCTAGTTTCAAAATGGAGCTGAAAGGGACAAGTTCTTTAGTTTCCCCAATGAAAACTTTGATTCTTATTAGTAAGGACAGTCAGCTATAGTATGCTCACATCCTGAGCTTTTTTGTTGTTGTTTGTTCAACTAAATAGTGTCTTCGAATTGGCGGATTAAAATTAGGTTTAACTTTGAAGGGTGGAATTATAAGGAGAAAAGAAACAACATCAAACATTTAGCTGTGTCTCCTAATCATTAAAGGTGCAATCTCTGCATGTAATTCTGCATAGGAGAGAGGTGCTGTGTTACTGCAAACTGTCACTGCCCTGGGACTTGGGATTTTCAACTGACAGAAGATCTTGGGAGAGAAATTAGCTTTTTATGCTTGAGTTGTTAAAAATTTGTTGGCCTTTTCTCTCTAGCACCAATGCCTGGTAATTGCTTCTCTCTCTTGGTCTTGTTTTTTTGGGTTTTGGTTGTTTGGTTTTTTTCATGTATGTCGACAGCAGTCTAAACCTTTTTCAGGAATTGTCAGGTATTGTCTGGTATAGTACAGAAGAGGCATTTCTGCTGTTGACAGTACAACATTTGATGTGTAGCATTTAAAGACCAGTAATTTTCTCAAAAATGTATTGCAGCAATTGCAGTTGACTGTATTCTGCAGATTGTGAAGCCATACTTTAGGACAAGATCTTTTTTATTGTCTTAAGTTGCCCATGTTTTTTAACTTGTCTGCCCCTCCTCCTCCCTCAAATCCCCCTCTTCTAGAAACAAAGACTTGTTTGTTCCTGCTCTGCCTGTGAGGTCTTTGCATCCTACGCTGTGTGGGTGCAGAGCCCCTTATTTAAATGCTTTCCATAGCCATGGAAGGTAAGGAACAGGATGCATTAGAAACTGGCAAGTCCTCGCTGACATATAAAATGAAGCTCTTCACCTTTGAATTCGAAGTACTTGAAAAGAGCTGTGCATGTCAGTATCATTACAAATACATGAGGTGTAGAAAAAATAAAATCTGCTATCTGAGATCACATTAATAAGCATATTCTTTAGAGTGCAGATTTTTGCAGTCATGTCCTGGTAAATAATGGGGAATTAGGAATGTAAAAAGAAAAAAAGCTCACCAACGAAACAAGCAAGCAAAAGCACCTCAACCCCAAATCAGCAACAAAAAGCTTTAAAACCCTCTGTTTTTTCCTGTCACTTGAAACAAGAAGTGTTTCCCCCCACTTTTCATTAAATACTGTGTTGGAAATTATAGATAATTACATTCTTCTTTGAGTTTCCCTTGAAGATAGCACATTTGTGTAATCACCAAGGTGTATGAAAATCATTGATACTGTTGTTGTGGTTTTTTCACTGGTTCTTCACTTGGATATGTTAAGTCAGTAAAATTCACTTAGCAGCATCTTCTTCTAATATCCTAACTTTTAGTTTAATTTCATGGTTAAAAAGAGTATGCTCATATAAAAACATCTCCACAGTCTGTTCTGACGACGGTTTAAAATCTTATCAATTTGAAATCTTTTGCACTTTCATTCCTGAAATAATAAAATGTTCAGAAACATCCTTTCAGTGATGTGATGATGATGATGATAATAATTTATAAACTGGATTTTTATATTCAGCTTCCAGATAGTTACCAAATCATATAATTAAGTGATCCCCTAATATTTATTGATGAATTTTAAGTATACACCAAAGTCTCAATATCTTAGATATTCCTGCTTTAGATGTGCTTTTTCTTAGAAATACTACTTTCACAATGGACATTAGAAGACATTTTGGGGATCTAGGATGAGGGAATAAAATGAAAAACATCAGAGAAACATGATTTCTTTTTTAAAGTTAAAATTGCATAGTCAGTAGATGAGAAGAATGGAGCAAACAGTGGTCAGAGAGAACAGGAATAATACAAGCAGCTGTCAGAACAAATATATAAAATAAAAAGAGCATAAAGTGGCATGAGCAGGAAATACAAAGCTGCCTATTTGAGGAAAAGAGATACTTGTATGGTGCATGCAGGAAAAACAAATTCATAACATGTTGAAGGAATGTTAGTGATACTGCACTGAAGTGTTTAACTAAGGTTAGACACTGTTAAATTTTTATGAGGTTATCTATAACATGACTTGGCTGTGAACTGCATTGAGGTAGGACTCTGAAACCATGATTGTGTAACTGGGGACTAGACTATAAAGAGAACCTTTTTAACCAAAAAAAAATTGACATTTTTTAGCTTTAGGTACTTAAATTCTACAAGCTAATTTGCTTTTAACTTATATGTGCTCATTTCAGGTGATTGTAATTTTTTTTTTTTCTTCCTTTTGATTTTGCACTGTAATTGACCTTCCCTCTTGTTTATTAGCAGGGTTTGGATCCTAGAACTTCTGAGGAGTAGCACAGACTTTGGATAGAGTTGCAGAATTAACTAACAGCAGGAGAAGGCTGTTTTCCATTGTCCCCTATTAGCTTCATTTCTGCTTATAAGGTGAAAGAGAGTAAGATAAATAGAGCAAAAGACATGGTCCTGGTTCCGGATTTGAAAAGAGAGAAAGGAGGAGATCTGTTCCCCACTCCAGCAATGTCTTGTCTAGCTTATGTAAAACTGCTAAATGCTTTCTGCATTGCTTTCTCTAGCTTCAGCTTTGCTTCAGATTTGATAAATGAAGGTTGACTAATTGTTGTCAGATCAGCAGATATTGCCCAGTGGAGCTCCTGGTGCTTGTAGTTAAGTGTTCACTGCCCACATCCTTACAGGACAGCTATTAATGGTGTTAGGACTTTTGCTTAACAGTTTCTAGATAGTGTCTTGGGCTAGTGTTCCTGTCACAGCTTGTGTGGCAAAGATGTTTAATTGGCTCACTCTGATCACCTTCTGTCCTGAAGTTCAGTTCTCATGAAGTGGTGCTGCATGTCTTGTAACATCAACTGCTTGATTTTAGGCTTTGATCCACAGGAATGTCATTTTCCCACTGGTGTTTTTTTTCATGCTGCATCAGGATGAGACTTGTAGGTTGGAACTGAACTGCAGCCCTAGTTGTTTCTACTTGGTACTGGGATCCAGTTTCTATTCCTACTTCGCAGGTTCACTTACCTTACAGGAAGTTTTATCATATTGGCAATTATATGTGTGAAGCTCTTTAACTAGTAACTTCCTTAAATGCTGTTTCAAATTACTGTAAGCTATGTTACAGCATTTTATGTTGGCTGGACTCATGAAAATATGACCCTTCTTCCCATTAGACTGTTGAGTCTGTACTGGACCAGTGGATTAGTTGAAAGGGTAGACTGCAGAGTTGGGTCTCTAACTGGTTTAGTATTATGTGGTAAATATATGTTGGCTTTCTTGGAACAGAACAGCACTACTGCACCTGAAATTGACCACTCAAAGGACATGGGAGACTGAAGGGCTTTTCAGTGAAAAGATGATTCAGATATTTTTATGAGAGAATTCTCCTTTCTTATGGTAGCTAGAAATGTTAGTATTCTGGGAATCCTCTATATGATGAAAACATTAATTCAAACTAATTCTACAGATGGGTTTTTTCCCCCACTTAACCCTGTCATCCTAAAAGAACCTCTCTCTTTTTTTTTTTTTCTTAGTTTCTGTAAACCATAATCCACATTCCCAGAAAAAAAAAATCCCTGCCATTCTCCCATCACTGCTTCAGCAAATGCATTCTGCAGAATACTGTGAGTGTTAACAGATTCAGTCTGTTACGGAGATCACGATGGAGATGGAGAGCTAATTCCAAGCTGAAAGCCCCTGAAAATAGTGCCCTTGCAATACAGTCAGCCTTTCCCACCCTCTCTTTCACTCTGGAAACTCTAGTACCTCTGTTGACTTTAACCATATTGGTGTCATGTGAGGGAGAAATCACGCCTCATGCATCAAATAGATGCATCCCAGTTATGTATTATTTTATAAAATAAAATTGTCTTAGGCCTTATTTTTATAGGGGAAGGGAAGATGGCTTCTCATTGTGCATTATGCTTTCAAGGTTACATTTTTAGTCTCCACTCCCCAGGAAAAATGCAGTGCATAATTCTGAGGGATAAAAGAAAATGAAGCACTAGCAAAATGTTTTCTATGTTGATGTCCATATTTATGGCTGTATAATTTTTCTGCCATTTCCGTACCAACTCTAATTTTGCCTATCAAGATAGCTCTAAATGAAGTCTCTAATACTAAAATAGTGACAAGGATGTGAATGCTGATTGCATGACCTTGCACCACAACAAGTAGCCTTTAACTGTTTTCAATAAAAGTGAAATTATCCATTTTGTCATTCTGTGTGTTCTCAAGTTAAATGGGCCTAAGATTCCACATGAATAAAACAAGTTATTTACTATTTGTGTCTGCAGTGAGAATAGTTTATTAGAAAGAAGAGAGATTTTTCTAATTTTACTTGAAATATTTTACTATCACTTTTGAATTTTTCACCAGTTAGCACATTAAACTGTTTTTAGCAGCTTTTAGAATAAGTACATGGTCTTAACCCTGAGACTTTTGCCTTAATTTTGCACATATCAATTGCTCATGCATGAACATACGTTTCGCACTCTGAATATTAGTGTAGCTGCATGTTTTGTACTGTCATGCCTTGTAATTTTGTATATTTTTTAATGTATACCTTTTGTGAATACTACTTTCCTTGCATGTATTTGTTTGAATTTATTTTTTAAGTGTTTATTGTTTTGGTTCCTTAGCCATGAATCAGCGAATCAGCCAAAGTGCTCCAGTCAAACAGCCACCTCCTCTGGCTCCTCAGAGTCCCCAGGGTGGTGTGATGGGAGGGAGTAGCTCCAATCAGCAGCAACAGATGAGACTTCAGCAGCTACAGATGGAGAAAGAAAGGCTGAGACTGAAGCATCAAGAACTGCTTCGGCAGGTGAGGCCACAGGTTAGACACCTACTTCCACTATTTCTTTTGTATGCTATGTTTTGATTTTTCTAAGTTGTTTCAGTGAGTCTTAAAGGCCAGTGACCATACAAAAAGCTTTGAGATCTAAAAAGGTCTGAATTCTCTTACTGATACAAGCTTGGTGGTGAAAGTATTTCATTTTTTAGACTGAAGAATTTTGCTTTCCTCCATCATTCCTCCCTGTAATAAAACTCTTTAAGAGCTGGCTTCACAAACTATAAAGATGACAGCGTGGACTGTTGATGTGATTGGATATTCTTCCTATATTCATTGAGTTCCAAGTCATGCAAAAAGTTATTTCCCACGGCTACTTTAGTTCTCCCTTTTAAGTGGAGGAAAGTCTTCAGTTTTAGAACCTGTTGCAGTCTGTAGGATTTTGAGGTATTTTCAAAGTTTATATAAGATACTTTGAGGAGATGCCTTGCTGGAAAATCTTACCTGTTTGATAGTGGAGTGAGCATGAAACAACTGAATAACTTGTGCTGCATTTTGAACCTGTGGTTTCTTATGCTAAAGAATTTCAAACTTCATAATAAGGCTACAAACTATGCCTTTCAGTATTTTCTACTGTATGGATATGGTTGTATTATCCACTATATGGATATGGCTGTAGCAAATATTAAAGTGTAGAGCTGGACTTTGCAATCTCTGGATTGGAATTCGGGCTTGATCTCCTTTTGACTCTAAGCCTTCTGCTTCGGTTGTTCAATCTGAGTGTTTTAATAGTTACTACTATCTGTGCTAGATACTTAAGGTATTTCTTTGGGTTTTTGACACTGGCAGAAAAAGCACTAATCTATTCCTTGAGGAAAACCTTTTAAAATCTTTCCCTTTTCACTTTGGGTGATGGGCCTTGTATCAGAAGAGGATAACATCTTAATGTCTTCAAAGACAGCTTTTCTCTTTCTTCAACACCTGCAGTATTCTGTCCTGGAATCTGACTTCCATTATCCCCTTTGTAGTCAAGGACTGTTTTGTAGGAATCTTCAGCATCTCTTGGTGTAAGATGGGTCATCTTTACAGCCATTACTTTTTATAGTACTCTAGGTAAGAATACATTGCAAAGGTGGCATCAGGACTTTCTCTCCGCTTAAGCACCTGGGCTTCTGCTGTTCCTGCTTTGCAATTAATCCACAAACAGACATTTTACCCTGTGCTAGCATGCTTCTAGGTAGGCCTTCTAATTGTCTTCCTGCCTCAGTTGTCCTTGAGAACCTGACTAACTTTTGAGCAGGTGGCAACCGGTTCTCTTCATGTTGTTCTCCTTAGTCGTTAAGCTTATCTGTCAAAGTTAAGCTTATCTGTCAAATACGCATCCTTGGTAAATCTGTGAGTTTTGTTTCACTGTGTCATGATTTTCACAGTTCTTAACTCCCTTATCCTGTCTCATCTGGCCTGTCTCGGGGGCTTGATACTACAAGATGGTGTTTATAAGACAGCCTGCATAGGTAAACCGTGCAGCTAAAGTAATTTTTATCCATCTTATTTTTACTCTTAGGCATTGCGGAATATCAATCCCAGCACAGCAAATTCTCCAAAACATCAGGTAGGCTCTTAACTGATGTTTCAGCATAATTAGAAAAATGAAAACATTAAATTAGGCTAGCAGGGAACTTTCTGCTGCATGAAAACATTCTAAAAAAGAAAACAAAAAACCAAACAAAAAACCAACCTCTGCCATGCACATTTTTGAATCACTTTTCTGGTCACAGCCCTAACATTGTTTTTAGGAGTGCTGCATTACCACAACTTTATATCAATATTTAAGAGCAAATGAGGAATTCATTGCACATTTTTTTACATTGAAAACAACCTTCTTATATAGCACTCTTGAGGATACTGCTGTTCCAGTCCTGATGTCATCAAGGTGTTTATTTGAAGCAAACTATCAAAGGTAGTAGTTGGTGACTTTTAAGTACTGCTCATATGAATGTTCTTATCAGTTTGTTAAACCAGGTGTGATCTTAGAGAAGGATATCTGTTATCAGTTAATGAAAAGTCACTTGAAATAGTTATGATTTTTAAGCATGCATAGTATAACAGTATAAGAATTACTTAATAGATTAGACTAACAAAATAATCGCTATGCAGATAAAATTTTTCCATTTCAGTGTTTAACTGGTTCTTGCACACATACATTTTCTGTATAGGAAAAAACAGTTATGAAAAGCTCAGACCAAAATAAAATTGTTCAAAATGTGAAGCATAATAAACAGCTAAATGAGGTCTTCTTTCAGTTGCTAAAGAAGTTGAACATAGAATGAATCTCTAGAAGGGTGGATTTTTGGATACATTTGGAGAACTTCATGTTTGCTATTGTTAACAGTGTTTTAATCTACTGGTTCTTAGTACAATATTTATATTAGCTTGTACTGTACTTTATTTTTAAGAAAAACCTCTGTATACACTAGGCAAGAAAAACAGAATAAAAGAAAGTATCCTGTTTGGAAGCCATGAGTACTGATGTACTGTTGCATTCTGAAGAGTACCACAAACCTTGTATGTTACTAGTTCTGAGATATAGGAACCTGAGACCTTAGTGCTGACACCCTGGAAAAAAAACTTTCTTGTTTGGCAATACCAGAGCAGCTCTTAAACAGAAGCATTTTAATTGAGATGTAGTAATTTGATTCATTAACAAAGCATTAACCACATGATGATCTTATCAATATTAGATCCTATTCTGGAGGAGAAAAAAAAGTCCTCAAGAATAATGGGTATACAAGAGAATAAACAAAGGAGAACTACTCCACAGTAGTGGAGTAAAACACCTTATCTTCTGGCATAATTAGGTCATTCATAGGGGATGATTTTCTTACAGAATGCCAAAAGTGTATTCTGTGTTTTCTTCTATGCTTGAAGCCCTGTCATTGTTCACTCTTCCACTAATTTCTTCCTGTTGCCATCTCAAAAAAAATACAGGAAATGGAAAAGTTTATTATCAGTTTCATACTGAACTCTGTAAAATGAGGGTTTTGGAACTTCTTGAAATTATGGCTTAAAATCCTAAAAAACAGCGAAAACTTGAAGGGACTATACTGATAATTCATTAAATGTATATGTAGTGGTCACTCTGCTCTGTTTGGAGTGGTAACTGATGAAAGGATTCATACAAAAACCAGGATTCCATTTATATTTTAACTTGCTTTCTACCATACCTCCTGCCTAGGATCAGTTTTATTAGTCTGCACTTGCTAATGAGTCAAGGTGTGTGTGTGAGTGATTTGTTGGGTAGAAGAATGGGCAGTGATGTCGCCTTTGAAGTTCTATTATAGTAGACTATTTGTGCACACCATCTAAATGTACTTTTTGTGTTTTCATATCACCTCAGTAATGTCATTAATAGCCACAGGTGGAAGAAGGTGCTTAGAGAACTGCTTCTGGGTTCTGGTTCTCTAAATGCTTCTTAGGCCTTGTACTGTAGAGGCAGATGTAGTCTGTCTTCTCTGCTGATGCTGCTATTGAAGTCCCAATCTGTACATCTGATCAGATCACAGCTGACCTAGTTAATGTGGAAAATATATAGAAAGAATTAAAATTTCTTTGCTCAACTTTTTTCTTTCAGACAGGTCTTTCTTTCTTTTCGAATAAAATTAATGAAGTTTGGAGGAATTACTTGCTTCCCTGATGATAAAGCTGTGCTTGGTGGCAGAGTAATTGCTTCTCCTGCTAGATTTTAGATATTCTTTTAAGGAATAATAAAAAGTAAATCTTCATATTCAGTGCTCTTAATTCTGGGACGACTAAGTCTGTTTTAGAGAGGGATTGCCAAGGTCTTGCATTTGTAAAGAAATTATGTAACACTGGCATTCTTGAAGCTTGTATCTAATGAACTCTCTTGTATAGATGGATTAAAAACATCTGAGAAATGTTCCTTAACTTCTAACTCCTGATCAACATCCTGATCCTTCTTGACATTTTTCCCCATGTAGCCTGGGTGCAGTACCCTGGTTGTACTGATATCTATGGTCAGGTTTTTTTGGTACTGAGTAACCAAAGTGTTCCTGCCAGGTTTTGGTGTCTCTGCCATGGTACTGGCAGTATCCTGTGGTAACACTAACATTCCAAGTGTTGTGTATGGAAGCCTTAGCACCTTCTGGAAAGAGCATATAATTGCTCAGCTTCATTTTTATAGAAAACACTGTAAGAGACTCTTCCTGTTTGAATGAGGATGTATTTTACTGAAATTCTAAAAATGTCAAAGGTACCTGTAGCAAAAACTACAACTTTCAGACTTACTGTGTATCAGCAATAATTGTTGATACATCCAGGAAATTCAAAAACACCAAGCATCTGTTCAGTTACTTGTGCTTATCGTCATCAGTTTTTTGTGTCACCTTAAAAATGTCTGTCTTTCTCAGTAAAGAGATTGCATGACTTGACTTTCACTCCATTCCCACTAGCTCTCTTTCCATTTTCCTGCCGTTAGCATCTGATTGTCAGTAATTTCTAATGTAGAGCAGATGTCAATCAAGTTTTGTATATGTCACAAAATTGAACAGATGTTAAGTAACAGATTTCTTCCCTTACAGTGTGCTGTGGAAAGAAATAGAGGCAAATAATGTCGAGGTACTGATGACATTATTCTTGGATGTTGTGCAGACTATTTTCTTGTGCTGAGAATGGAAGATTTCTTATTTATTTGCTGCTAATATTAGAGTATTTGCTAGTAAGATCAGCATACTACATATTTATAAGTTCCTCTGTATATGCTTGCTCATTTTGTATCTGCTGCTTGTTTCTAGCTTGTTTCTGAGCTTTACAGATCAACAAAATAATTGTGTTGCTTGCTTATGTGTGTAGATCTTTATGGGTAAATACCTTGTTTAAAAGTCTGTGTAGTAAATCAGAACTGCATTCACTGGCTGTCCTGGTTGTGACTGAAGCAGTGAATGGTCCATTTCCCACTTAGTCCTCACAAATTGCCCAGCTCCTCATTGCTGAGTTCGTTTGTCTTCCATCAGTCCCCGTGTCTTCCCTGTTTCTTTTGTATATGTGCTACAACTTTGTGGCCCTCACAAAAGTGCAAGCACTTAATCTGAAGAAGCAACTTGTGCTGTAAGACTGCCCATAAGTGTTGTGGTCTTCTCTTTCCCCTAAAACTTCTCTCCCGTCCCAGGAAAGCCTGTGTATCATTTGAAAGTCAAGTGATGGTTGGGGGCAGAAATATTACAATTGGCACTTCTAAAGTAAATTTGCAAAATCAGAATATATCAAATAAAATTGAGTAGCATCTCATAGGTCTAATACAGTAAGAATATAAGTGAGTTGTACAAGTCATCTGCCTTTCCTCAAAAGCCAGTGAAGATAAAAATGCTCTTAAAAGTGTAGTTTTATGAAGTTAATTTGAACATGGTGTGAATGACCTATAATTTAATGTAAAACTTAATCTGTCTGGAATTATGAAAAAAAAATTGCATGAGGTCAGCCAGATAAATTACACAGTGCTGACCTTATTTTTTAAATTATTTAAGGAAATGACAGATCATTTTGGTCTCTGCGTAATAACTAAAATTCAGCTTTTGTGCTACCAATAGGAATACTACGCTTTTCTTTTCCCAGAGCTACTTAAAACAAATTTGACATAATTAAAAAATAGGATGAGATCAATTCATAGAAATCTAAGCCAGGATTTTGTCATAGTTTTATTTTTGCCTCCAGACTTTAAATACTTCTAATAAAGCACATATTTTAAAGCATGAATCAAAAGCCTTGAGTTCACATTGCTCTGTTTTGGAGCTGGGAGAGACTTGGACACTCCCATACATTTTTTTTAGTATAGAAAACCTACAACTTTTTTTTATTGCAAAACAGGTTTATAAGGAAGGAGAAATGAAAAGACTGTTCTTCAAGCAACACAACTTCAGCTTCAATTTTTTATACCTTTTAGGAAAAATAGTCTTAACATACGCTTTAGGCCTTTAGGAAACTTTGCTTATCTTACAAAATGATTAAAAATTGCCCTGTATTTGTTTCTCAATAGCTTGTCTTTTTTGGTAATTCCTTTCTCTTTCAGACTCCCAGAATGACATAAATTTATTACTTACATGAGTAATAACATTCTTTTGAGGGGAAAGTGCTTCTGACTCCTGTAAAAGTAGCAGTAATGCTACTTATAAATAGTTAAAAATAGTTGCAGTTTTCCATTTTTTAGCAATGTTGTTAAAACAAAGATAAAAGTAGTACTAATTTTAAAAATACTAGTTTCACTACGTAGTACATGCCAAAGCATAGACAAAATATAGTTCTCTCTCCTGGTTTAATACATCTCTATAGTGGGCCTTTAGAGAAATTAGATTTTTTTGTTTTAGCTGGCTAGTGTCTTGAGCTACATTTATTTTTACCATACTGTTTAAGTTCATTTATTGATGAAACTTCAACCTCTCCTACACTCTGAGGATTTAGAAAAATACAAAGGTAACTTCCCTGTTTTTCCGAATTTTTTATTCCTTTGTATTGACTTTTTTTCTTATAGTAACAGAAGAAAAGTTGTGGGTTTTTTTTTCTTTCCTGGTGTCAGTAGCTCTTGAAAAGGGGACGTCTGGATTTCTTATCTTCCTCACAACTGTTGAATCAGGAGGCAGTTCCAATTGGAAAGGCTACACAAAGGGTATAAAATGTCACTCTAGTTCATATGCAGAATTGACTCCATGTAGATTTTGCTTTGTTACTACTCTTTGTGGCACTGTTGTGTGATTAAGCTGCTTCTGCAGTCTGCTGGCACTTTTGGCTCCTCCTCTTCATCCAAATCAGGGACAGCAGCCCAAGGAAACAAAGATGTAAAGTACAGATCAAACCAAGAGGGAAGGGGAAAAGGACACAGCACATGGGTGAGAAGTTCTTGAGCTATCTCTGGAATAGCTGGTCTAAGATGTTCTGCCTTCAGATCAGTGTTTGGGAAATTCCAGGAAAGAATGCTTCTTTCTTTCTTTCTTTTTTACAAATGGATGAGTCTACCTGTATATCAGGTAGCTTGAGACTGATACAAGGTTGCAAACTTAGCTGTGACATAAGATGTCATTATGTAGGTTTTACATTAGGTTTTATTACATAAGCAAATGAAAATCATATGGATAAGCCTTTAGAAATTATTAAAAGATGTTTAATGTCCTGTGATCTGAAAAAGGGGATGGGGTATTAGTAGTATTTGTTAGGACAGTGGCCAGATAAGTGGTGATGAGCAGAGGGCTGGGTTTACTTGTAACAGTAATTGGGTGTGATGAACACAAAAATCAGTGGTATGCTTGTACACTTTCTGGAGAGATCTAATCAGCTGTAGTGAGAAAATTTTCTAGTGCAAGACCTAAAATTTAAAGGAATACATAGAATAGTAATCCACAGGAATGGGAGTGAAGCATATGCAGATTAGAAAAGAAAACCTGTCAGTAGGGAAGCTTAAATAAATTTCTGCTGGAAATAAAATAAAATAACCTTAGATTTGTTCACTTGGAAAAAGAATTGGGGCAAAGTTACTTTTATATACTAAAAGACTACAGTATAGAAGTCCTTAAACTTATCATTGAAAGTGGATGAAGACCTCTCATTTTACAAGTGAGAAATACTAAGTATTGTCGAGACTGACAGCGTTGGTTTTGCCTGAGATTATCTTCCCAGGCACAGCCCGGTAATCACGTACTACCAGTACTGGTGACAGGATAGTCAATAGATTTATAAGTCTCTGCAATAACAAAGCTCAGTCTTGGTGGGACGTTGATGATGTTTGAATAGAGCTGCTTGAAGAAAATGACTGTGCAACTCATTCACATATGCAACTCATGGAATACTTGTTTAAAAAGGGGAGAGGGGTCACTGGAAATTACATCAAATGTTGCTTATTTCCATCCACCCGTAATATAATGCATTTTATGTTAACACTTACTTTCATTAATTAGTAATTACAAGCTTAATGGATGGTTTGATTCAAGCTGGTGAACATTCAGATGTGTAAAAAACTATATGTAATTTAGGTTTGTAACTTCAGAAATGCAGTGTCTTGGCCTTACTAAGAAATTACTCAGAATCTGAAGAGTTTTGAAATTTACTTAGGAAACTAATCACTGATTTGATCAGTCAGAAATTTCAAATGCGTGCCTCAAACAGGGAGCATGAATGGAAACTTTTAGAGAAAGACTTGAAAGTTTGCTGGCTGAAACAAGAAAGGTACAAAGGAAGTCAGGAGCTAAATCAGAATTTAAAAGAAATGGGAATAAAATGCTATTTAGCAGAGCTAAACAGGTTATATTAGGGGTCAGATAGTATTAACAATTCTTGTTTTGGTTTAAGTATATACTTAGCAGAAAGATACTGAAGTGAACTAGAAAATATTTGGGTAAGCATAGAGATATTTATATGCATAATACATTTACAGTGCAGTCTCTGTAATGGTGGTCGTGGCTGCTGGAACTTGCATTTTCATTGAAGCCAGTACAGATTCTTGCTTTGTCCTCAGAACCTTGAGTTTCATTTCATTTAACTCTTGTAACTGGAAGCAGTAAAAACATCAATTATGTATAATGTCATGTGTTTATGTATCCAAAAAGTGCATTCAAATGCCTGACATGATCTCTCTTTCTCCCTCTCCTGCTGTTCTAGGAATTGGCTCTCCGTAGCCAGCTTCCAACAATGGAACAAGACGGTGGATCTCAAAACCCCGTGTCATCTCCTGGAATGTCTCAGGAACTGAGAACAATGACTACAAATAGTTCTGATCCCTTTCTTAACAGGTTTGTAGGAATAGCTACTAGAGGAAAGAAATTTGATTTAAAATTCTGTTTGGTACATGTAATAGTTTATTTTGAACATCTGTCTGTGCCAAGAGCCACAGCTGTAAATGAATCTTTCCTTAAATGGCAAGTCTAGTAAAAGCTGAAGATTAAAAGCTGTCTCCTGTGGGAGGAAGTAGTCTGTTCAGACTTGTAGGAAGGTTTTTATTCAAAGTCATAACAAGTTTGCCTCTGCATAATCTGTTGACTAACAGTCATTTCAAATTACTGACTGAATTTGTGAATAGCTCGGTGTGAGATCAAATGAACTGTGAGGCACATTTAGGATTACAGCTTGAGGTTCATTTTAAGGTTTCTCCATTCACCCCTCCCTTACATTTCAGGTATTTAGCAGTATTTTTACTCTGCTAATGTTAGGTCTACAAATATTGGCATGTTTCATTTTAAATGCTGTATTATTTTGAAGTGGGTATTTTCATTCAAGATTTAGAATCTTACAATATAGACTAGTCTTTCATAAAACTTTTTCCTAAGTCCCTCTGACTTGAAGTGTTTATTTTGTTGGAAATACTGTTCAAATTTCAGCTTGCAAATGCTTCCTACCAAACATTACAACTTTAGAGACACTGCTGCAGCTTGAGATAAGTGACATCTGTATTTTGGGTAATCCCTTTGGGAAGATTTATCTCCTACACAGACAATTATGATTAGAAAACTTGATGTTTTTTGGAGGGATTATCCAGCATGGAATTCATCCTGTAGGGTGTTCTTGCGTGAGCCTCAACTGTGCTGGCTTTGTCCTATGAAATAAAGGAGACAACACAATTTAAACATGGCTTGCTCTCATATGGGAAACCTCTGTAGATAGGTGACGGTGTATCACTGTGGTATGGTAACATTCTGGCTTGAACTGCTGGAAGGCTGTTGCCATCATACATCATACAGGTCCTCATATCCTCAAAACCTCTCTTCCTACCTGAAGGAAATGCATCTTTAGGTTTCAAATGGCCACGGCAGTGGACTGATGCGGTTTATCCATTGTGAGTCTACACACATAAAATAGTGATAAAGTGATGGATCTTTGCCATTAACTAGAAACAGAGGAAAAAGCTAGAAAAGGGCAAATTTACATTCTGTTATTTTATGGCAGTTTGATATTTACTGCAAAGTGCAAAAAGATACTGCTTGCCTGGTTGCATATATGTTTGGGTTTTTTTTTTTTAATGTAGCCCTTACCCCATATAAAATATTGAAAATCTGTATTTGACTTGAATTCAGATTATCTTCATTTGCATTTTGGCCTGAAAATTTGTCTCCTTCTAAGCTGGTGTATATGTGGCACCACACTTAATTCTGCCATATGGGTGTGGGAGAGGGATTTTTAAGAAAGGACAGCTGTGAATATGCTTTGCTATCTCAGAAAGCAGTCCAATAATTTTGACTTAAAGGTCTTGTTGATACTCCTTTTGTTAAAGTTCAGACTTCGAGAAATGCTCCTTTCAATCTTCATAGGGTGTATATAAAGTTCCTGGTGAGACAGTACTAAATTAGGCCACAGAGTTATATATTCTGAGTTTAGGTTGCTGCCTATATAATAGAAGCATTAAAAAATCTCAGAAAATCACTACATTGGAGCAATTTGAGATAATGCTCAATAGTGGTTTAAAATGCATAATCAAATCTCCCTCCTGTCTTCAGTACTTACTGTCGTTATGGTATATTTGATTATTTTTTTTAGTGGGATATTCATCAGTGCAGACTTCGTTAGACTATTTCACCTTTTGATTTGCCATACTTGTTTATATATTTTTTGTCGGTTAGATTTATATTGGTAGTGATGGTAGTTCTCTGTTTAACTCCTAAATTGGTATTTCTTCTTTTGTATACACATATTTTAACAATGATTACTTGAAGAAGAATCCACTCTATTTTGGGTAATGCTGTTTAGTTGCATGTAGTAATTTTGGGTGGTGTAACTGCTAAATGAACAAATCCTTGTTGAAGAAAGAGGAAATGCGTATTAATGAGTGATTTGAAGAGAAGTGCTGGACATTCCAAGTGGGAGAGCAACAGCCAAAAAGCCCTTTCCGCTGGAGTGCTTAAGTTCAGCATAGTCTCAGTTCTGTTTTTAGTATTTTGTCCCATAAACTAAACCAGATTTTTGTACACAGAAGTTCTAATTTGTTTAAATTTAATTACTAAGATTGTATTAAATGTGTGGTGATTCTGTTCTTAAATCAGTATAAAAAAGAGAAATATTTATGATTTATCTACAAAGAAATGTTAGGTTCCTTTCTTGTATGGCAGAGGTGTCCTCATGTAATCAAATATATATATTTGTATACCTGGCTGAAGGCATTCTGCTGGCATCTGATGTTGAATAGCTGTTCATAATTTTTTTGGTTCTTCATACTTGACAAAAAGGCATATACTATATACTTGACAAGTACATCATGAGAAGGATTAGTATGTCTTCAAATGATAATTTGAACAGTAAATCATGTTAATATTCATTCAGGATGCCAGATGGAAAATCAGTAAGGATACATAACCTGAAGAAATGCAGATTTTGAAAATATTTTCTGAAGACTGAATATTAGAGGATGCAGGAGGGAGGGAGGTAATGGTGGCCTTCAACAACTGCTCATGCAGGCCATAGCTGCCAGCAAAGGTGCTCCAGCATGGGCTCCTCTTACCATTGGACCACAGGTGCTGTCAGCCTTCCAGCACAGGTTTCCCATGGGGTCACAGCCTCCTTGAGGCACCCCCCCTGCTCTGGCATGGATCCTCCACTGGCTGCAGGAGGGTCTGTGCTCCCCCTGGCATCTCCACGGGCTGCAGGGGCACAGCTGCCTCACCATGGTCTGTGCATCACGGGCTGCAGGGCAATCTGCTCTGGTGCCTGGAGTACCTCCTGCCTCTCCTGCTGCACTGGCCTTGGGGTCTGCAGGCTGTTCCTCTCACATATTCTCACTCCTCTCTCCCATCTTCTGTTCAGCATTTTTCCCCCTTTCCTTAAATATGTTATGACAGAGGTACCACCATATCACTGAAGGGCTCAGCTTTGAGCAGCTGGACCACTTTGGAGACAGCTGGAAGCAGCTGGCTGACATGGGATCAGCTCCTCCTGCTATGTCACACAGTGATCCCTGCAGACCCCTGCTACCAAAACCATGCTATATAATCTCAACACAGTGGCCTGCTTCCCCTTCCCTTCCCACATTTTCCACTGTGGCTCTCTTGGTCTTGCTTGCTGCACTGGCAGGAGATGTCAGTAAGAAAGTGAAGGCATGTGAGGCCCCATGCCATCAGTTTGGTTAACTGTTCTGTCAGCAAGATCATTCTGAGCAGGGTTTGTTTATAGGATGGCTTCTGTACCAGGGTTTGATTTATATTTGGGTGCTCTCTTGCCTTGACATGTGTGACTGAACAAGTAGTAATGCAGCAGTGGGAAGCAATTGAAGAATTGCTAAAGGAGTTCCAACTATTTATAACAGCAGTGACCTAAAAATACACTTCAGTGGCTGATTAAACATGGGAACATTAGTTAGAAGTATTTTTTTTATACTCATGGAAGCATAAAAGGGTGCACCATAATTATTATTATTTTTATAATCATTATGGATTACCTGATATGCTTCGAAAGGTTTTAGCTGTGGGTGGGTGTGAAAAGATTAAAATTATGCACAACACAAGTAGGCTGTTTCTTAAAGCTGCTTATGTATGTTCTCATCAAGTTAAATCGAATCTGAATAATATGGTTTTAATTGGAAAAGGTCTGCATAAAATAAAACAGGTGTCTCATGCAAACAAATGTGTCAGGTTTTTATTAGAATAGGGGATTTCTCATGGTAGCAATGTTTTCAAAGCCCGTAAATTAGTTCAAAACAAGCATCTATTTTATTTTTTTCAGTGCTCTACCCTCATTTTTTTTCCTCCTTATCTTCTGTTGCAGTGGAACATATCACTCCAGAGATGAAAGCACAGATAGTGGACTTAGCATGAGCAGTTACAGTGTACCCAGAACCCCAGATGACTTCCTGAACAGTGTTGATGAGATGGATACAGGTCTGGTTTGTGTACATTTTTAATGCATGTTTTCCAAATACACTTGTATCCATTTGCAATGAAAACAGCAATTCTGAAAAGCTCTGACACTTTTTGCATTATTTTCTACCTTTTCTTATTTCCCCTATTTCTCTGATAGAAACATTTGATTTATGAAACAATACATTTGTTAATTCTACTCCAAAACTATATTTGACTCAGTATTGTCTTTTTCCTTCAAGTGTAAAAATTAAATTATGCTAAATGGCATCAAAGCTCTGTGAGATTTGGGTCAGTAGGTGAAAGTTGGAAACAAAGGCATGTTCTTTATACATCTGCATGCAGCCAAGTTATCTTTGGGGTTTGTGATGGATTTCTATGAGTCACACTGCGTGTATGATGCAAGAGGTACATGATTAACCAGTTACCCTGATAAATTGTAGGTTTGGTACTTCCAGTATACTTAATATCCATCTTTGTGTTATAACTAGGTGACAGTATCAGCCAAAGTAACATACCATCCCATCAGAACCGTTTCCCAGACTACCTTGAAGCCATTCCAGGGACAAATGTGGACCTTGGGACACTGGAAGGAGATGGAATGAATATAGAAGGAGAAGAACTGATGCCAAGTCTGCAAGAGGCTTTGAGCTCTGACATCCTTAATGACATGGAATCTGTCTTGGCAGCCACCAAGCTAGATAAAGAGAGTTTTCTTACTTGGTTATAGGGGCCTCAGGGAGACTGAATTCTAAATCTGTGAAGGATCTAAGGAGATTAGGACATCTGTATCTGAAGTTCAGAACAAGCCAGTGTGGTGCACTTTGGCTTGTGTTCAGAAAAAGTAAATGAACAAATACTCAACAAGTTTGTTTGGGTTTGCTCTTCCTTGTCCATCGCTGCTGTTATATATTGCTGACTTTTTTTCACAGTTGACTCTGAAGAACAGACATCTTCTTGATCTTTTTCTATTGCTGTTGCAACTACTGTTGGAGGGGGGTGGGGAGGGATGATGAGCCTATTTTGGTTGACGAATGCCATTCCTTTTGTCCTAGTGTGCGCTTGCGTATCATTTTATCTAAGTACTCAGATTTGAGAGTTAATTTCTGCATGTCACTGCTTGTAGTTTGCTCAGCTAGTTGTCTCCTGCTGCCTGTGGCAAGTGGTAAAACATGACATACTGGGGTGACAAGCCAAAAATGACGTATCTGGTCAAAAGAAGTCAATACTGATTTGGAGATACGACGTAGAGGAGGGCTGAAGACTGTTTGGCATTAAGTGTTTCTACTAGTAGCTCTTGCATTAGCCACAAAGTGCTCTTGTTTGTATTTTATGTTATAGTAAATCATGAGTCATTTTACATAGAAACATATATGAACTTTGATTGTTGCCACATACTCTAGCCTAACTTCCATTTTTCAAAATTACTTTGATTATTTTTGTTAGTTGGTTTAACTGTAGCTGTAGGATGGGAAGTAATTATAGATGTTCTGGGGTTTTTTTTAATAGTGAAATCTAAGGGTTTTTTTCTGATTTCACACAGTCTTATTTAAATCTAAATTGTCTGCTTTTTTTATACTTAAACCATGCTATTGTAGCCTGATAAGCTAGTGAGTACATAAACCAGTATGTTTTGCCTCTAACTTTTTTATTTTTTTAAAGGCTAGCTTTGAATGTAATCATTAGATTTCATGACCAGTGGCTTATTTTTCATGTGTATTTGCGAGACTTTGAATTAGAATCTGATTACAGCAATGTAAAAGAGTCCTTTGTCATGTGTACAAATTTTAAATGCATCTTAAAGTAGCAGAACCATTTTAAAATTACATCTAATCTCCCTTCTGGTTTTCAGTTTTGATCTCTAAGTGAGTACAGATTTTAAAATCCTTAATGGGAAAAAAATTTATGAAAAGTTTCTCTTAAGTCAACACACACAAAAATTCTGAATTATTAGTATCACTGTATGTTGCAATGAAAAGGCTAGAACACCAAAAAACTTCTCAATAAAAACTTCTAAGTGTAATAGTTACCAAGTTCTGTTTGGTGAAAAATAAGCCCTGGACACTATATGTAGAAGAATGTAAAGTTATGTGTTAGATGGTGACATGAGCAGGTAATGAAGTGTATATTAGTAGTAGAGCTTAGCATGGGGTAGAGGTGAATATGAATCATTTTTATTTTAACAGGAAAAGATGTATCACTAAGTTGTCTGCAGGAGTTGACAAAAGTTTCCAAAGAGTATTTTTAAATGAACAAAATGAGCGTGAATCAAACTTTCAATATAAGCTATGAATTTTTGTGGGGCTTTTGGGTTTTTTTTCTGATGAAAAATAGTGTCACCAGTTAACACCTCTATAATTAAGGGCCTGTCACCATTTTCAACAGTGAGCCTTTATTTCCAAGGGTGTGTAACATGACTGTAAAGATACCATAAGTATGAAACTTAGTTTTGAAAAAAAACTCTCAGTTAGCAGGGACTTCTCCTGAGGAGAGATTTTTTGGGGTTTACTGTTTTGCATTTTTTCAAGACACTGATTTAAGCTAGGAACAAATCAGCAAAACAACAAAAAACCCCCCATCATATTACTATTACCATTTGGATTTCTTTTATGCTTCAGAAATAATTCTGGTTTAGGATGATGTAAAGAATGAAAACTCTTAACCAAATCCTGTTTTAAAAACTGAAGCAGCAGAGGCAGAGATTTGAAATTTGCAACTATAAATGTACATTTACTACTTTACATAAATATTTTAGTGTTTGAAAAACACAAAATTTTATGGCTTGTTCTGGGATACAGGCAAATTTTAAAATAATAATTTTTAAAACATATTCACAATTATATATATTCTGCTACACCAATAATTCAGCGATTAATAGGCCACTTATATCGTGCAATGACACAGTAGCTCCTAAAGCAGTGTTATTGTGTCCAAGATAGGGATTTTAGTAGCATTTTTGTAATTTCATTATGAATTCCTCTCTTTCCCTCCCTTCAGGAAAAGAAAAAGACACTAAGTTTTCCTAACTTGAACAATCTGACATAAAACCACAACAGCAAGGAAATTCAGAGTAGATTCTGTTTCAGCTGTCTTCCACAGTTGTATCCAGGTATCATAGCACATAGAGAATCACAGAATAAACTGAGTTGGAAGGGACCCATCAGGATCATCAATTCCAACTCCTGGCCCTGCACAGGAAACCCCAAGCTTCACACCATGTGCCTGAGAGCATTGTCCAAACACTTGAACTCTGTCAGGCTGGTGCTGTGAGCTCCCTGGGGAGCCTGTTCCAGTGCCCAAACACCCCTGGGTGAAGAAACTTTCCCTGATATCCAGCCTAAACCTCCCCCGACTCAGCTTCAGGCCATTCCCTTGGGTCCTGTCACTGGTCTTAAAAGTGAAGAGATCTTACCTGTCCCTCATCTTCCTCTCATGAGGAAGTTGTAGACTGCAATGAGGTCTCCCCTTGTCTCCTCCAAGGTGAACAGACCAAGTGACCTCAGCCATGAGGAGTGGCTTCCCCTCAAGGCCCTTCACCACCTTCATTGCCCTCCTTTGGATACTCTCCAGTGGTTGAATATCCTTCTCATATTGTGGCACCCCAGCACTGCAGGTGAGGCTGCCCCAGAGCAGAGCAGAGCAGGACAATCCCCTCCCTTGCCCGGCTGGCCATGCTGTGCCTGATGCTCCCAGGACGGGGTTGGCCCTCCTGGCTGCCAGGGCACTGCTGGCTCACGTTCAACTTGCCACAGACCAGGACCCCCAGGTCCCTCTCTGCAGCGGTGCTCTGCAGCATCTCAGTCCCCAGTCCATGCACACAACCAGATATGATGCACTGAGTGCAAACTCCTGACAGTGCTGTACCTCGCTACAACAGAAATGAGTACAGAACAAATTCTCTTTCCTTGCTTTTGTGTGTTTGTCACAGCTTTAATATTTGAATGTTTTATTCTCATTGTAGAAACACTAAATGGCTTATACTGTATTTGGGTAGCATGGCTTAGGGTAGATACTGACAAACTGGGAATCCTTGAACAGCTCTAACATTAATTATGTTTTGTGAAACTTATTTTAATTAAGACATTTCCGTTCTCTCACTTACTAGGAAACATACCATAGAGATGCTGTACTGTTGGCAATCAATATTAATTCGGATTTTTTTTTAATTCTTCAAATGCATTGTTTGATGAAGTGGTTAAAATTGTTTGAAATGCAGAAGTGTTTTGGGTAGTATTTTATACTGATGTATATATTGAAACAGAAATCATTGTAATAATTGTAATAGCTGTTAGTTTTAAATACACTATATGCAGACAGATGGGGCTGTACAGAGCTGTACTGTTAACACCCGGGTAGGGCTACTGCTTGGGAACAGGTTGCAGTGTCAGTGAACCATATGGATCAAATATTGTACCATTCAGTGTTGGCGCTCACCAATGCAAAAGGAGAAGAGACAATTTCAACAAGATTAACACTACATGGTAAATTAGTACTACAGTGACCTTTTCACTTACAAGCATGTTTTTTATACAAATTAGCAGGTGTGCTTGTATAAAATAATTTGTGTTCTGTATCATGGAAAAAGTACTCTCCACATTTAGAATCACAGAATCATGTTGTATGTTAGAGAATTATGTCCAAAATTATATATATATTACTTAACAATGTTATTTTTAGATATGAGCATGACTGTAAGCTAGGTACTTAAGTACATTCTGTTACATTATTTTTCTTTATGTAATACTTTTTCAGTTGTTTTATTTGGTATAAATATATACTTTGTGCTTAAACATCTTTGTTCATTTTTAACATTCAATAGTATGTAAAGATATGATTTCCTTCAGTAAGATAGATGCATTGAATTGTTGGAATGCCTATTGTAGTGCGTCTGTTCTTGTCCCCCTTGTCATTGCTTTTGTAGTTGTAAACTCCAGTTCTGCAAATACGGTGTGCAAGCTCACCTGAGAGACAAATGAGTTCCACTGGCTTCAGTAAAGGCTTAACATTAAAGTGTACATGTCTGTGTGCTTGCAGGAATGAAGAGACAGTGACTCTGGTGAGCATCATGCAGCTTGTGTAAAACAATACTTTAATTGCAAATGGCACTATAGTGAGACCTGGTAAAAGAACATCTGGGTATCTACTAGAAGAAAGCATCCACTTTTTGCAGATAATGCTTGCCATGTTCGGATGGCAGATACATTTTTGGCTAACTCTTAAGTTTATGCATTAATTTGTGGCAGACTATCAATAAAGACACACTATTTTCATTTCCAAGTTTTGACTTATGAATTGTGAAATATGTAATGACATACCTTGAAAGTGCCTGAAGATTCTAGTTTAAAATGTCTTGACAAGTTTCATTAATTTTGACCTTCTGTATAACAGTCTGAAAGATGGGGTTTTTTTTTAATGTAGCGCAATTTGGAAAGGCCAAAGTCATACACTGTTTGCATTTTAGCAGTTCCAGAGTTGTTACTGTTCAGTACCAAATGCCTCAACCCTGTGAAATTCAGCAAATTTGTGCGTTTTCTTGGTTAAAGGTACAGCCCTTGGTGGATTTATCAGTTTGTCTTGTACTTCTGAGTTCATAGCCAGCTTTAGTCACCCAGATCCTTTAAATTTAAATGCAACATCACACCTTCCACCTGGGAGTAGGCGGCCTGTGCCAGGGAATGATAAGGTACCAATTTTGTTTGTTGATATCACTCATTTATAAGGTGGTGACATATTGCAGTAGTTGAAGTATGAGTGACCTTCTGAGGCAGCCCTAAATAGACTGTATTACTGCAAAACAGGATATTTGGTCCAGGTATTACAGGCTCACTTTGCAATTCTCTTTGAAATATTTTCAACACTTAGTTAAAAATAAAAAGTATTCATTTCAGTAAGCCAGAAATAATATGCTCCCAAGGAAGCAAGTGCCAGTTATCAGCCAAATAAAACATTTTTCATATTGGATCATCAACAGAATAATTATTTGAGATCAATCTATGATCTGTATAACACCTCCTATTTTGGAGGTTCATTCAGAGATAAACCAGGGCCACTGCTTTTATTTATAGTATCAGCATCCAGAGTTTATATGTTCCTTCTGAAGAGTAAAGGTGTGCTTCTTGACCTTTGTTGTCACCACTTCTTAATGCTAACAGGGGTTATCTGCACCCTCTAAACTTGGGTGTCATCATTATAGGAAGATGTCAGTACAGGATGAGAGATCTTGGTTGACACGAAATGGTGAATCCAACTCTTAACTGGAGAATCAAGTTGTCTTTAGAACAGAGGGTAGAGCTTTGTACCAACTACCATGTCCAGTACTGAATGCCTCTTAAATAAAACAGCCAATGTGTTCCTCTCTAGGCACTGAGGGAGCATGTTGAATAAGAAACATAAAAACACTGACACATCTGACAAGGCTGCCTAACGGATTTTGTGGAAAACTCACGGTATTTACTTTTCTGGACATACTCCTCTGTCTGTAATGCAGAGGCTGTAACAGTGAATGCTGTAGATCTAGGCTGTCACACACTGGTTTTATTTTCTCTATGTGGGAATGCAGTTGGTCACTCTCATGATAGAATTTTCTATATCAAATAGGCTTGGCTTAGAATATGAGAGGCAAAGTAGTTGTATGGGATTTTCCTGTCTATTAGCAAGTGTGACTGTGGGGGAGGGGGTTGTTTTGTTTTGGTTTGTTTTTTAAGGGGAAGGGTCAGGAGCAGCCCTGCAACAACAATGACCTGCAACAACAAGCTAGAGCTCCATATAAATGCTACATTCAATCTCATCTGAAACACTCTTCTCCTCCTCTCATATATGTCGATTCTGAGCTGCTCTAGTGTGTTTTAAATTATTTATTGTATTTACCATCTGTGAGTTTTGCTTTCCTAACACCTAATGACTGGACTGTAATAGTAAGTGCTGTTTGTCCCCAGAGGAGAGCAGAGTTTCTCCATCCTGAAATCCAGCTGCCATCGTGTTTGAAGTCTGTAATAACACAGAATTACAGTCTGACTCCAAACATGATGCTGCCCAACTTCTGGTACAGGATGGTTATGGGCAAGTGTGATTTTTTTTGAACCATGGTGGATTTCTGTCATTGCTTTGATTTCTGCAGCCAGCTGTCCTAGCAGGAGCAGGGACAACAGTCCTCCTGTTGGAGTACTCCTACCCAGCACTTAACCTGATGTTAGCCATGATAACGTTTTTTTAAGCTGAGAGAGTAATTCAGTCTTTCTCTCATAGTTTCATTGCAATACAATTGTCTCAGCTCTCTTGACTGACAAGGGGCCATTTTTAGGCTTTGCCCAGTGATGTAACCCTTTCATACTCATCATCCATGTTGAAGTGTGACCCAGAGGCCTCTGAGAGGTTCAGCTGCAATCCTGGACTGTCAAAGTCTACAGTCAAAACGAGGTAACTGGTTGTATTTGTGTATGACAAAATCCCAAGCCCACAGTGCTAAGAAATGGTGTGACTTAGGTGGTGATACCTCACAGCAAATGGCAGTAACTGTGAGGTACCATCTGGTTCGGCCAGTGGGGTTCAGCCTGAAAGTGGTTACCAATGGCTGTGTAGTCCAAAAAGTTGCTGGCAGAAACAAAGCCTGTGGGGCAGCCTGGCTCTTGCCATGCAGGTGAGGTTCAAGCTGTGGTTGAGAAGATCGTCAGTGCTACAGAAGGTGGCAACTGCTGGGCTGATTAAAGCCCCCCTATCAATGCAGCCTGTACCTGCTACCCCCTTCATCCCTGTCCACAGGTGATTCAAGCAACTGCTCTAAAGCACTGGGGTTTAGATTTGTATTTGCCACTGTGTAAAACTGTGACTTCCTTTATTTTTCAAATGTTTGTATTTCACTTAAAACATGACTCTTCTTTTAAAGGTCTTTCTTCCTGTGAACAGCCTTTCAGGACCTGGTAATCTTTCTGTGGATATAGATTTTTCTAATTAATATGAATGTTATAAGCACCAATAAATCACTGAGAAATAGAAATTTCTGTTTGCAGCTCAATGGCAAGAAAGCTAGAAAATCTGTCACCCAAACAGTAGTATCTGCATCCAAGTTCATCTCATCCATATACTAGCCATGGTTTGGAAAACAAGCTGATTTTACATGAAGATCCATGACTTCCATAAGGCTCAGGTGCCTCACAACTGTCATCTCTGCTGGTGAACCTTGCTATTGCAATATGTGGATTTTATCATCACCTTGAAAAGAAAGTAATGGAGCCTGGTGAGGTTCATGAAAAT